GATGACAGGCTAAGTGCACTCGAAGGGTGGCAGAATGTTTTAAGGAGGATGAATGGCATTTGTCTTTCACCATAATATGTTTCTGAAATTGAAACATTCCCCATAGTTTCCAATCACACGTCACCTCATATTTAACTGCCCAACCCAAGGATGCTTCTCAACAGAGCACCGTTGCTTTTCCGCTGCACTGTCTGCAGTTTGTGGCTCCCCAGTACTGAGGCTGGGAAGAGACCAGAATGTGCTGGAGCTTGCCACTGTCTCTGGCTGGACGTAGCCATCTTCACTTTGTCCACATGTCATTGCTCAGAGCTGGTCTCAAGACTCTGCCTAACTCCAGAGGGTTAGAAAGCTCAGTTAGTGAGGCTAGTGAGCCCAAGTGATAGCTCTCCACCTTAGTGGATTTGTCTGACGTTCTCCACCTCTAGGTAGGGTGGTTGGGAGCTGCACAACCCACATGGTTCCCGGGGGGGGGGGGGCTGTGCCTCCGGGGTTGAGGTGTGAGGTGCTGTCAGTGGGAACAGTGCTGTAGCAGGTATGCTTTCTTTTTCTGCTCAGTTGCTGAGTAGTTCTGATCCCAGGGGCTCACCCTTTCTGCAATGACCTATGTCCAGTAATTGACTGCAATGGGAATATGACCAAGCCTTGACAATTCCACTTCTTCTACCAAATCCTGTTTGTTTTCTCCAGAGAAGGGGAAAAGGTGAAGACAGAGGAGCAAAATACCGAAACGAGCCTCAATATCAGCTTCTATTTAAGCACTGAATGTGAAAGAAACAACTTACGCCAGCTGCTGATGAGAGGAAGCAATGGATGCCTTGGGGGCTGGGACCTGGATGGCTTTCAACATAGCTGCAGTGACGGTTCCGTCTCTGGTAAGTGGCGCACAGACATCTCTGGCCATAAGGCAGTTTCTAATATGGAGGCTCCTTTGGCTAGTCATGAAGGCAATGCCTCGAGGGAAATATTTGCTATGAAATAATAGATCTTTGAGAAAAAGTAGGTAAAGAGTAATCACAACAGCAAGGAGAATGGACGGCTACCATTAAACCCATGGCTGACCCAGAAAAAAGATAATGAAAATCTGTCAGTAATTAAAGCACCAAGTGGGAAAATAACTGATTTTCCTGAGCGCTTACACTCTTGTAAACCCGAGCCCCGGGATTTGACAGAACTCCTGGTAAGATAAGTGCTCAGTCAACACAGTCAGGTTATAAGAGCCTGCTGGGAAACAGGAAAGGAACTGGACATTTGGAAAGCGAGCATCTGGTTGAATGTCCCTAGCAATTCTAAGCTTCCAGAATCTTCTGATTACTGAAAACACAGACTCTTTGCTTGAAGGAATGCTGAGTCCTTTTCCTCACGGAATATCATGCAGTCATCTGAGGATCTGCCCTTACCTCTTGTTATGGTCAACATACATAGAATAAAAGCTCACCCACAGCCCCGCCAGGGATGTGCTGGTTCTGACAGTGCCTTCACAGCATGAAGAAGATGCAAATACTGGCCACCCTGCATTGGTGGGCACTGAAAGAGAGCCCGAGGGTCTGAATTTTGAGAGCAGTCATGCGACCTCAGAGCGTAACATTGGGCAGAGGAGAGCATCATCATGGAGACTATTCACATGACACAGAATTTAATAACTAGGTACGGACATGGACTCCAGGTGATGGAACACAGTTCTCATAAGACAATTCCTAGAAGCATGATAAAGACATGCCCAATGCTAAGTGAAGTCAAAATACCTCAGTGCTATAGTGAATGTCAGATGGATTAAAACCCCACCTGAGAGTTGATTGGCACGCTGGGTCATACTTTGTAGGACTAAGTCTGGTCAGGTTTTTCCACGGTGGCCTATAAAATATGTCTAGCAGCGCCATAAACAACGTGCGGGTGTGGGGTATGTGATATTAGACATGCAGCCCAGTAACTGAAGGAAAAGCTCACTGGCAGCAATGAGGATGATGGATGGAGTCCCAGTCAAAGCCAGCTGGTGGCATTTAACTGTCACAATCCAAGGGAGCAGAATTACTGTGATAAGCAGCAGAGGGAGTTGGCGGGGGCTCTGCAGCACCCCCATCTCACTGCAGAGCTGGCACAGCCCAGGGGCTTGAGGCTGAGTTACACTGCTCGAGCAAGAGCTCTGTGCCCCAAGCCAGCAGCTACTGATCCACATCCATGACGAGATGAGCCGAGACAGCTAGATTTGGATCTGGATGGGTCAGCTGTGGATGTGTGAGCAAACCGGAAATGGACAGGAATTGCCCTCTACCTTAAACAAAACAGTGGTTAGAGCAGAGCTTTTGGCAGTGCGCTCTGCTAGACACCCACATGCCTGCACCCCAGACCAGCTTGTCTGCCATCTTTCTGCTGCCAGCCCTGTGAGCTGAGGTCCTTTGCCACTGCCAGTGAGTGTGTATGAGGTTAAGCTCAGGCCATTTGTTCTTCATTTCGAATAGGAAGACACCCTTTGTGAACTTGGTCTAGGAAAAACCAAGACCTGGTTAAGTTACTGTGAGTCACCTAATTCTCATGCCTAACTCTAGGCAAATCTTGCTTATAATTTCTCCTCTCATAACATTTTATTTTTCATAGTATATTTCATATATTATGCTATGGATTAAAAACTGGTGGTCAACTTAACACCAGCTGAATTAAATCAGCATGGTGCTGAGTGTAGATGGTCCACCTGAGGAAAGTTGCCAAATAGAGATGTGGAGAAGATGATCTGGGCATTGTGGGTTTCTCTGTTACTGTTTGAGCAACTGGTCCTTGTGGAGGAGTTCATGTCTGGCTTCCCCAGTATGAGTTTGACCCTTGTCATCAGAGGAGCTCAGGACCTTGTTGGTGAGAGCAGCTGTCGTTCACTTTGGGGGAGCTCTGGTCCTTACACCAAGCTTCACTTCCTGGCTCCGGAGGGAAAAATGTGTGCTGTTTAATCTCCGGGAGAACTTTTATCATTCTGGCTTTCTGGCATGTAGTCAACTGTTGTTATGTCAGAGGAGCTCGGGACCTCCTTATCACTGAGATGGCTGTGGTGCTTTTCAGGGCAACCCTGGTTATTTTGAGCATGACTTCTTGGCTAAAACCCTCAACCTACCAGCACAGCTCCTTCTCCCTGCTGGCATAGACTTTCTAGTTTCCACCACTGACCTTGGGGCCTTCCCAGTGCAGATCCATAAAGGAGACTGGTGTGAGTCTTTCTTGTGGGCTCTAGACCTACAGTTGGACCCATGACAGGCATTGTCATGGGCTCTAGGTCTTCATCTGGACTCATGCAGGATATTGCTGTGGGATCCATGCGCTTGGCTGATTATTCTGGGTCTTTAGTGCTGTCGAAAGATTCCCTGCACTTTAACTCTGGGTGACCATCATAAAATAATATTCTAAATTCTGTGTCCTGATTCTAATTGTTCTCCCCACAACACTTGACTACAACATAGTATATTTCTGAAAACATAAAATAATTGGAGAGTCATCACTAACAAAGTTGAATAGTGTCACAATGGAGTCCTTATTATAGCTTCCTTATAAAATAGTGTCACCACCTTGTTTTTCTTGGCTAGCATCCCCATGATTTTTCTTTTATAACTCTTTCGTTGTTGTGCTCTCTAAGGCATTTTTAAATCCATTTTTCAGGGTGATTCTAAAAAGAAGGCTGCCATACTTATTAAAAAATAACATTTGGTTAGTTTAAAAATTGTTACTTTTCAAAATAATTAGGCTGATAAAATCCTGGATTGCTGACAAATATATCTGTCATCCACTTGTACATCAGAAATAAGCCAAAGTTCCATTCACTTTTAAAACACAACTCATATTCTAATTAACTGTCATTTACTACTTCTGAGGTTCATATCTATAATTACTTTCAGCTGGTAATTTACCTCAGTTTAATTAATCACTTAAGTTCAAATGCTTTTGCAAGGAAGTTTCCCTGATGTCTTCAAAATTTGTTTCACAGAACTACGTCTTCCATTACCACCATGGCAAAAAAAATAATTATGAAATTTTTATCTTTGGGCTGGGGACTTAACTCAGCGACATAATGCAAGTGCCTAGTCATGAGTTTGATCCCTGGTATCAAAAAAGAAATTTTTATCTTTGTTAAAAATAATAAAATTAATGATATCAATGTTTAAAAATAATATTTGAAATGCTACTGTGCCACAGAATTTAAAAATAAACAAGAATCTAATGGTTACAATTTTCAAACAAACATTTTGTAGTAATGGGTACTTTGGAAACATAAAAAACAAGTCCTGGCTGAGGATTTAGCTCAATGACATAAGCACCTCCCAGGTAAGGGCAAGGCTGTGAGTTCGATCCCCAGTACAAAAACAAACAACAACAACAAAAACCCCAAGTCCTTTACTAGTGATTCAAGAAATTTCATAGGATTTATAAAATGAAAATTTCTTGAAAACAGAATGGTAAAACCATTATGAATGTGTGAAGGTTTATGGCATTGTGTTTTGTTTTCATTTCATGTATAAGAAAATTCCTTTTAAGGAAATAAAAGAAAATAACTACCTGGATTCTCATTAGGCTACTGTAGATCTTTGTGTCAGAAAAAATAAAACCATACACATATCTGGGAATAATCCCTGTATAATGTTATATCTATATATGCATATATATATGTATATATATATATATTTTTTGGAGATAGGATCTCCCTGTGTAGTTCAGGCTGGCCTTCAACTCACTATGTAGTCTAGGCTGGCCTTGAACTCACACTGATCCTCCTGCTTTAGCCTCTCAAATGGTGGAATTAAGAGGCGTGAGCCACCATGCCCAGCTCTATATTATATGTTATTAAGTGAAATATTTGAAAGCACTGAGTTGAAGTAGGGAAAATCTGTATCTTTATAAAAAATTAATCAGTGTGAAACAGACTATGGCAGCTTTAATGAACTACTTTGTCTTATAAGTAATGAGGTAAGTTTACATGCAATAGTTATTCATAGACAAGTAGGCAAATGACGACAGAGAATTCCATCTGCATTTATGGAGTGTACAAGTCTTTTATGTTCTAAAAATAAAATATTTTTATATTCAATATCCAAATACTTTGATAGTTATCAAAAATACTTTTCACAATTGAACCCCTTCCATTATTAAAGATAGTGCAGTACTTTTTGTATTTGAAGGGTAAGACAAAGGTTGCCTTGATAGATGACTACATTTTTGTCTAATTTTTCCCTTATAATTGTTACACCTTTTAGACACACTAAGATTATTCATAGCCCCATTAACAATAAGATTTAAATCCTCTTTAAATAAAACATTTGATCTGTTGTCTTCTCTGTGTTTAGGCACGTGAGTCCTCTTTCGGTTATGGTTCGTGTGTTGAAAGACTTTAGTCACCTTTCCACTCAGCCTGCTGGGGTTTTTGGGACCATAAGTGCTTTCCATGTCAGTGTGACAGCTAATATTCTTACAAGCAATGGAAGGGAGAAATGTCTGAGGTGGTCCAGTGGGCAGATCCTGAAGATACCTGGGGAAATGTTGGCTAATTTTGTATTCATAGAGTAGCTTTCTTGACTTGGAATCATCTAATTTAACAGAGCACAGATCATCTATAGTGATATCCTGATAGGTATTTGTTGGACTGTGAAGTGTATTCAGTTTTTCAGAATTACTCTGAGGAATGCTTGGTAAAATTCCAGGTCTGTTTTGTCCTAAAATTAATTTAGTGCCAGGAATAAGAAGATTTGGTTCTTCCTGCTTTGACAGATGAGTGATGCCCATATTTGAAGTTGGCTTGTGCACTGGTCCATTCATTGCTGTGCTTTTCCAGATTAAAGGGTCACAAATGAGCAGTCCATCAACGGGGCAAGAATTGCACTTGTAGAACAACCAATTGTCAATGCATTTTCTATGAAACTGGAAAAAATGGTTAGACATTAATCATAGATGTAATTATTATATCTGTAATCTGTGTTATTTATATAAATGTTTCCCAGCATTATAAGTGTACATTACAACTATCTAGTAAAATAGAAGTAATTGTAATCTATCAAGTCTTATGAAAATATTTCAAAGTTCACTTAAAAATATATTTATGGACTAATCATTTTCTACATTAAAATGCAAAGATGTGTATTGATATCACCCTTGTAATTTTGTTAAACATTCACTACTTACACTAGTAATTTATGCTAATTACTTCTAAACAATGAAGATTATTATTATTAGTGACACCAGGTACTGAACCCTGGGCCACTCTCCCTTTGAGCCTGAAAGACATCCTTAACCTTATTTTGAGACAGTCTTGCTAAGTAACCTAGGTTGTCCTTGAATTTGAGATCTCCTTGTCTCAGCCTTCTGAGAAAACCGGTATTAAAAATTATGTAACAAATAAAAGGTAGAGTTGGAAACTGGATCCCATGACAGTGAGATATGAAATAAGCCATAGTTTTGGCCATAAAAGGAACTACTGGCCACTATAAATAAGGGTAATGGTATAAAATATTTATTGAAACAACTTTCTGGAAAAAGTTACCAGCTATATCGTAATGAAGCAACGTTCAGACTTTGATTCTAGCAAATTCATATAAAACAACTGTCATTTTAGGCATTTCTCTTTCATCTAAAAATACATAGCAAAGACGGTTCTACAAGCCTTTTCTTTATGTTTGTAGATACTTTAAGTAGATAAAAGAATCTGATGTGAAGTGCCACTTGTCTTCTCATGATAGTATCTATAGAAGAAAAATAGACCCCGGAGCATTCATACGTCATGTGCAATCCGAATTCTGCACAGGGTACTGACTAGAAACCGGGAGAAGAAACTTAAATTGTTACTTCTGTGAAAACTGCCCCTGAGGGAAAGCCAAACGGAAACGCTGTGCCTTTTACCTTGTGGGAACAGGGCAGCAGTCTCGTGTGCTGGCCGAGGTGGAAGGGCTTCAAACACAGCCGACACTGGCAACCAGGGGCAAGCAGCTTGCTGTTCTTCGTGACCAGTAAGAGAGGGAGAGACTTTACCACGTGTTTCGGCGTGCAAATCTGCCTGAAAGACAGCGAGCAGAGGGGCCCGAGTGTTCGCGGGTGGTGACTGATGTGGAAGAGACCACAGCGCGGTGCTGGGCCACGCAGGGATAATCCAGCCCGACCTCTGCCAGGTGACACTGCTGCAGTCAGTCACCACGCACGGGGCAGGTCCAGCTTCACAGAGGAAAACTTAATTTCATCTTATCAAGCGAAAACACGAGTGTAATCTTATCAAGCGAAAACACGAGTGTATATGTTTTGCATTTCAATGTTAATGAAGCCAGGACAAAATTTGGGTGAGAACTATATTCTCAGATTCTTCCAGTCCGGGCCAACACTTCTGAGTGTTTAGGAAAATACAGCCCAATTCCCTTTGGGGTAGAAAGTGAGCTCACCATAAGCCACACTGACTATGTCAGGCCTCAGTGGTGATTGGCAAATCACCAACTTTAGGAAATCTGTTTCCCCTGGCCCAGGTGCTTACTATCACACTGTCAGATGGCCAGACTGAAACCCTGAAAAGTCCTGCCCAGCATAGCAAGGATGATACAATGTGAACGAACTCATATTTGAAGCCATTAGCAATTGGTTAAATTAAAAAATATATATCAAAACCAAACTTTGTTAAAAGTCAGATGCATTTCTACATTCGAAAATTACTTGGAACGAAGTTCACACATATTCTTCAGAAATGTTAGTCTTTTTCATTATTCTACAGAACTTCACCAGTGTCTTAGTTACTTTTTACTCATCGCTGAGACAAAATACCTGAAGCCCAAGTTGGGAAAGGTTTATTTCTTACAGTTTTTTGAGGTTTCAGTCCACACTCAGTTGGCTCCAAGGCAGGGGGCATGGCTGGGCGGCAGCTCATGGCGGCTGCAAACAGCAAACAGGAACTGGCAAAGAGCAAGACACACCTTCCTCCTGCCATTACATCACATCCTGGCTCCATCCCTATGTGGGTGGAGCACTGACACCATCAATCCAAGCACTAGACAATGAACCAATCACAAATACACAATGCAAACTCATGAGGCCTGGGGGCCACAGACATAAAATCATGACAACCAGGTTACACAAATTTGCTCTCATCAAGGTCATGTAATTTCAGTTACATATGTATTTTTTGTGCTTTTGAGGTTACTAATCACTCTTTTTATCTTAAAATTCTTTCATTTTTTTCATTTTCTTTATCTGAAATTTCTTTCTTCCTCTGATGTTTTTGCTCCCAACTCTCCACCCATCAATATTTCCTAATTCAGGCCTCAGTTACACAATTTACTCTAATAGAACGCAATATGACTCTTCATCAGGAAAAATGGAGAGCCTTTTGAATGTCCTGCAAGAGCTCTGATCTCCAAAGGTGTAGGGTACCCCAGGGACATAGGCTGTACATCCACTGAGATTTGTACAGAAACTTACCCCTGTGTGTGTGGTATATAGGTGTGTTGTGTGCCTATCTATACAGTTAGGGAAAATAAGCAGTTTTTGTTTGATTCATTAAAATAACAAAAACTTTATTGTTTTATCTCATCCTTTAGTAATGAGCTTTTTTGCCTATGTTTTAAATGCACATAATCTATTAATACATGTTGAATTTTGTCATTAACAAGGAGTAAGACTGAAGTTCTGTAAACAAACCAATCAGGTTCAGAAATGTGACTGATCTACCCAGTATTCTATCCATGGGCCTGAAGAGGGGAGTAGAGGAAGAGGAGGAATGAAGCAGGAATACTTCCTTCTGCCAGAGGCCAATTATTACAAACGCAAATCTCAAAACTCTCTGTACCTTTTGTTTATCTAACTTTTGTAGGTTTGAACTTGATATTTATTTAGATAATTATTTGATTACTGAGGAAACTATGTATCTCCAATACCGACTGCTGTCTCCAATGGAATTAATTATGATAGAGATTATTTGAATATTTGCTGTGTGTAGTAACTCATTTCATCCTCAAAAAATTCACATGAAGTTGGATTTAGAATTATCTCCCTGTTTAAGATGAACAAGTGCCCATGCAGCAGAGAGAAGTGGGGTTACTAACCCGAAATTACACATGGACCTCACGTGGCAGAACAGAATTGGCTCTAAGCAGGCTGACTACACCTTGTAACTGTACCTGTTATATGGAAGTGGTTAATAAATTAAATCAAATAATAATATTAAATCAAAGATTAAACAATGCATTAAAATTAGAAAATTATTCAAAGGTCTCAAGGTACACTGGGAATGTAAATTTTACTTAGAACCTCACCCTTGCTTTTCTTGATAATGTGGCATCTTTTCTTCTATCTTACTTTTAATATCCAAATATTTTACATCTTCATGTGATTTATTTTCCAGTGATCTCCATCCTTGGTTTCTCTTCTGTAACAGGGAGGAAGTAGATGTTACTTTGCAAGTCACAAAAATTTTTATTTTGCAAATTAAGAAATAGTAGTCTACTTATCAATTATATGATAATGTGAAAAACACTTTTAAACATACCTATTCTTTTTAATCTCATTAAAAATATCAAATAGTTATCAGATCTCATGTATTACTGTATAACTACCATGATGTATTAGTTTTTAAAGTAAAATTATTGATGATAAGTACAGATGTTTTATTTTATGTTACATAATTAGAAAAACAGCATGATTATCAGCATCACAAGACCTTTTTAAGTGTTTAGTTCAAATTATCAACAAAGTTTCAGGTTTAATTATTGGTATAAGAAATTTTAAAAGAAAAGCATATATGATTGTTAATTCTGATATACCAAATTATAAGGTTGAAATCTTTTATAAATGATTTGTGAGTTTACCTATAAACCTTGTTTGCAAGATTTATTTATAATGCCATCAGAGGTTTGCTATTGTGTTGGAGTTTACAAATTACCAGTACAAGAACTGCTTGCCTTGTGCACCTATGCAAAGTGTTCTTTGAAAAATATCCTTATTGGTTTTTATTAAAAATCAACCAACTGTATTCCAGAGCCTCACTTACTCTATATTCTTAGGTTTACTTAGTTTTACAACAGGACAAGTCCAAACCCTTTATTGGAGCCAGGATGATACCTTACCTCACGAAATTCAAAGGTATGAGGGGCATGGCAGCAGCTATCAAAGCATCCCTGGCACAAGTGGTATTCAGTACATTCTGTGCACCTAAAAATGCAAAACATCAAAACATGCAAAAGAGAATCCAGTTACTGTGTTGTTTTTAGTTGAAAAATTCTGACCCAAACTTTCTGGGCATAAACTAAACATGACAAGGCCCATTTCAGGTCCCAGTGTGTATTGGTTTCCTACTATGGCTGTAAAAAATTGATGATATATATCTGCTTGAATAATGCAAATGTATTATCCTACAGTTCTGCAAAGAAAAGCCTTATATGAGTCTAAATGGCTACAAACAGGAGGCTAGCAAGGCTGTGTTAGTGTTTTGAGTTTCTGAAGGAGAACCCATTTGTTTCCTTGTCTTCTAGTGACCAGACACCTTCAAAGAGTGAGCTATATAGAAGCTCCCTGCCCCTCGTCCCTTGCCAGATCTCTCTCTGGATTTCTTGCCTCCTCTTTTAAGAACAATTATCCTGGGCTTATCCGGATCAGGATAACCTTATTCCAAGGTCATCTGATTAGGCATCTTAATCCCGTCTGTAACCTCATTTCCCTATGACATGGACCTGATGTTCAGATGCACACCCAGGGATGTAAACAGACAGTGTTTGTGAGGCCACTGTTGTACCCACCGACCCTTTCCAGGAAGCCTTCCTAAACTACATTAGCTTTCCATTCTCTCCTCTGAATTCCTGTAGGATCAATCACCCATTAAATATTCTGTCCTTAGATTACCCATTGTTTTCTAGTTGTTTTATGAATACCATAATTATACCTAGCAGATTATGGCATAAAAGTGAAATTACGCTCTTTTTCTTTCTCCTCAGAATGAAAACAGGTAAACATATAAAAAGTTTCAGTGAAAAATTGATACAATTTTTAAAATTTAATTTGCCTTAAAATCCCAGTGTCAAGTGTATACTGCTTATAAAAATTTGCCCCAAGAATAGGGTTTAAACTTACTTGCTGTAAAATTTACCAAATAAGAAGCTGAGCACTAGTCAGATAAACTTATTTCTAATATAAATTAACAAAGATTTGTAAGGCTATTTCCACGAGAAATTAGGATAAAATAGGTCCTTTAGATATTTTAGAATTAAATGCTAATTTATTTATTACTAGTTATATACACACAAGGAGAATTCTTAGTTACCATCAATACTAAAAAGACCAGCAGAATGCTGTAATTTATTTGATATATCAAAGTATGCTGGGGCAGAACCAGACAAACACCTCCATGCTTTCCCATATCTCTGATGTTTTTTGAAATGACATCTTAACTGACAAAAAGCTGGGCCATTAAACCCTCATGAGGGAGCTGAGAGACTTTCCAGTTTATCTTTTCTCCTAGGCACTCTCTTTCTAAAAGTAGTAGAACTAATTCTTCAGGCTGATGCCTGAAAGGGCAGCACTGTACGAGCGAAGGGAAGGGAGGTGGCGCCATGAACGTGGCACACACATTCTGTGATTTGGAACATGGTCCCAGCGAGCTGGCCAAGTTCCCACAGGAGACCCTAGCAGAGTGGATGAGGAGTGCGTAGGGAGGCCATGAATCCTGAGGAAAAATCCAGAGGGATGGAAAGAGCGGTTGGCCCCAGAGCACTGTCACCACGGGGTACCTAGAAGCCAGGCTGCCTCCTTTGTGTAACCCACCATACTCACACATTGACGGTTTGAGGAATGCAAGCCTGTAAGGGCTGAGAATTTTACACTGTGGCCCTCAACTCTCTCTGTACCCCAGAGCTGCTGTACCCACGCAATGGCTGCTACTACTGAAGACCAAGGCCCTATGCTCGCACTCTCCCTTACTAACTTTCCTGAGGCCACACGAGCACCTCCTGAAGAAAGGTCTCCAGAAACTCTGCCCTCCTCTCCTCCAGTTATTGCCTCTCTGGGCCAGTTTCCTGACGTGTGTGAATGATTAAGTTCCATCTGTGTGACACATGCAGACCACAGAGGAGAAAGGTACAAGGTGCCGTTGGGGACTACAGGAAAGTGCTGTGGCTTTATGAGAAAGGTTAATACTTATAATTTAAACCGTGCTCATCATGATGTAATTCTAGAACAGCTGAAAAGTAAACTGGCATACTGTAGAAGAATTCTTAAAAACTGAAACAAAATAGTACCCTACTCAAAATTTTAATTAGCGAAACATAATTTTTTCAGACAATTAATTGATGTTTAATTGTGACAATTGTGAGAAAACGGTGAAAATTGCTCTACTAATTATCTCACTTTTGTTGTTATTGCTGAGATATAAAATATGAAAGAAAACAAGACTCGAATTTACTGTAATTAGGGCTTTTTGGAATTTGATGAAAAATTCAGTCAGTCTAGTCCGCATCCCTCTGGTCTAATATTAGAAGATGATTTTGGCAATGCTCTCATTGGTTGTTCAAAGAAAGTGAGAGATCCAGGGTGACTCTGCTGGGCTGTCATCCAGGACAAGGTAACAAACCTGCATCCTGGGCCTCTCACCCGGTGTGCTACTGCAGACTCCACTGATACTCCAGTGCAAGGGCAATTCTCTTACAAAAGTGAAGAAAAGTCTAGAAATCCCACACAAGTTGCCATCAAGTAAGGCAATCACAGTTCATGCAGTCAGAAGAAGGCTGAATGATGGACAGGGACTCTTAATGCTTAACGTTTCCAAAAGTTAAAAGAAACCTGTGATTTTACTGGTGACACTCACTTGTAGCATTTCCCCTTTATCGGAAATTGTTGACAGTGATTACAGTGAATTCCAAGGTGCTTGTCCAAACGTTCTTTCTCAGTGGTAGCCATAAGCTTGCTAGAGTTTATGAATTCTTCCAGGATGACTTTTAATGGTGCGAACTCTTTCCTGCACAGAGGACATTTCACCATGGAAGAGCTCGAGGTCATATTCTGATAGTTAGCCAAGATCTTCATGCACTTTATATGCACGTTATTACCACAGCCAAATCTATTAGAAATAAATTTCAGTGTTACCATCCTTGCACAGAAAAATTTTATATACATATTGCATCTATTTATATAATCATAAACATGTTTATAAATAAAAATTTCTGCTCTAATACCTTTATTCCCACAAAAACTCAGAATTGATTTTTGCAAGTAGTTTGATTACACATACATATAAATCAAATATACCATATTTAATGTAGTGTATCAAAATCTAACCCTAATTTTTCTCTATTCTAAGGAAATGATGAAAGATTTTGGATCATAAAAATGTTTTTGTTTGTAAAATGATAGAGAATAGAGTCTTAACACAAAGGAAAATTATAATGATGCCCCTCAATTTTCTCAGAAATCACACTCTAAATGTCTAATAAATATCTACTGAGAGAAATAATATTTGGGGAAGTAGTTAATAATCTTACAGTGTGCAAGAGAAACAGTCATGTGAAAACTGCAGCGGGCATGGAATTCTGACAGATAATCAGGAGGAAAAATAACAATGAAAAAAGTAGCAAGATACATGTTGGGGGAAAAACACTAAAAAATAATATAAATTGCCCATCTTATGATAAAACTTTGTATTTTTCTCTATCAACATATCTCACACTCTAGTCAGCTATAAAAACATGTTGCTAGACTTTTCCACAAGGGTGAGTCAACCAAGGACGAAGTCCAGCACCTGCAGAAGGTGATGGGAAGCCTTTTCTCCAGCAGCTCCTCCTGACAGATGGAGCAGATGTCCTCGGGACCCACTTCCTTCTGCGGGACGAACTGAGCTCCTTCCCCACGAGCATCCTCGGGCCTTCCGGGCTGCGGAGTCTGGACTTGGTGTATCCCGCGCAGCAGGTCGTTTATTGCTCCTTCTGTAAGACCTAGCTGGAAAGCAGCTAGTGAAACCCCAGAGTGTTAACATGCAGTGGCAAAACTGGAAACAGAGAGATGTAACAATGTACACTGAGCATTAAATTTCCTTTCCAGGAGCGGAAGGGCAGTTTTAGCTGGACCGTGCATCAACAGCGACCACTACTTTGCATTCATTTCAGAGCCAAAAGGTCAGAAAGGAGTCGTTTATGGAAAAGAATGAATTTTTTTTCCATGTTACTGGAAAAAGCGCAAATAATGCATTGTAAGGGTTTTGGATAGGAAGGCATTCATTTTTTGGATTAGTGTCATAATTATGTTCTACATTTTTTTGTTCTACATTTGTTTGTCTTTCTTTAGATACCATAACTAATTGCTGTTCATCCTGTGTTCTATTTCTCTTACACGGTCTTTGAAATATACAGGGTGAAGGGTATTTGCAATAGTGAAAAGCTGTGTTTCCCTGCAGGGCCCCAGATAAAGGCTCAGAACCCTGAAAACATCAGTTAGTACGATGATGGAAACATCAGTTAGTACACCGATGAATACGTCAGTGTACACTCACTGCCTGCTGCAGAGCTCTGCTCCTGGGCTGGGTGGTGCGGCAGGTGGACCAGGCGGGGCGTCACTGAATTTTCATTTCTGGGGAAGGAGGGCTGCTTGTCACAGAGACGCAGTGACATCCGCATGCCAGAAAAAGGACAGCAAGGTTCAATGAAATCTAAAAGGCTCCCTCCCATGCCGTGTTTACTCTGTACTTCATGTGTGAATTACATTTTGGTTATGCGCTGGGGTAAAACCACACTCTTCTGAAACCTTACAGAGATCACCCCTCCTCCCCAGTGCCTATGCTTTCCTCATCTGTTATAATCAGCTTTTCTATGGCTTTACTAAGTTTTGGAAAACGTATGAATTTCCTGTGTTAATACTGATCCTTCATTTAAAAGCTATCTGTCTCTTACGGTAGTGCTGGTCTTTTAGTTTTTTCCCCCCTTGCTGGATGGTCTATCATTTTTACTTTTCTCTATGGCATCCATGTGTGTCCTGTGGTATAAGTTGGAGGTGGGGCTGAACTAGTTTTTCTCCATATCGCTACCCAGTTACATCGGTAGCAGCAGCCATTGAAGGGCCCCTCTTTTCTCATCCTGTGGCTTTATATAAGAAAGGTATCTGGAGAGAATTTAAGTCTTTAATATTAGAATATTAAAAGTTTGGCAGAAAGGAAACAATTTTCTTATTTAATTTATTAGGCAAGATAGATTAGTATAAATTTGTATATGGCATCTTTCTCATTTTGTGTGTTTTTTTCTAAGATTTTAGAAATATTACTAATATGTCAAAATATTTCTGTGCATCTTTATTTCTACTGGGGACTTAAATATATTACTAAGGTCTTTTATAGGCTTAAATATGATTAAACATTAATCTAACAGACAAAACTCAAAGAAAACTGATATATTTTTAGAAGAGTTGGGAAATAGCAAAAGTATTTTAAAGGCCAGTATAGCAATACAAATGGGAGGTGAAAACAAAAACTTTAACATTTTCACTCAAAATCCAAATAATGAGACAATAGGCTATAAAAATAATGGAAAAGAAAGAAAAAACCCAAGTAGAAATAAGTGCCTAATAATGGGAAATTTAATTTTTTATATATCATATTCAGTCATATTAACTATTGACAACTTCAATTACAGGCATTAAATAGCACTGAAAATATAAAGAACAGAAATTCTGTGTGTGATAAAAGTATGTAGGATTCCAGCATACTATTAGACATATATATTCACATGTGTATATATTATATAATCATAACAGCAACATTGACCATAAAGAAAGTCACTATATTTTTGTAGTGGAATTTGGAATTATTTCCTTTCATGTTTCTTTTGTGTTTTTCTATAATTTTAAAAGAGTAGAATGGCATTTATTCACCATATTACTCAGAAAAAACTATTAAGTGACAAACCCTGGTTTTGCTAATACATTTAAGAGGAAAAAGGAGGTTCAGTGTTCAGAAACTATTTTCTTCTTCTTCTTTTTTTTCCTTTTTGAAACAGGGGCTTGCGATATAGTTCAGGCTGGCCCTGAACTCACTAGGAGGTGAAGGCTGCTCTCAAAATCTTGGTGATCCTCCTGCCTCAGCCTCCCAAGTGCTGTGATTATAGCCATGCACCATCATACCCAGTTTAAAAAACCATATTCTTATAATAAAACTGGTATTCTTCTAATCATCTCTGCAGGTCTTCATAAAAAAAAGAGAAGCTCTGACTTCTTATATGCACATGAGGGTATAAATTACTGTTCTCAAATCTCTTTTAGAAAATAATGTATAGCCTGGCATGGGGGTACATGTCTGTAATCTCAATAGTCAGGAGCCTGAGGCAGGAATATCCTTGCAAATTTGAGACTAGTCTGAGCTCTGAAGTGAGCTCAAGGACAGCTTGAACTGCATAGCAAGATCCTGTCTCAAAAAGAGAGAAAAAAGAATGTATGAATGATAGTCAAAACATTCTTCCTTTATTAGTAGTAAGCATCTCTCTACACCTATTTACATAATCCTACTAAAAAACTCTATGTATGGTTTTCTTGGAATTATTTTAATTTTCATGTATGTTTACCCTAGCTTTCATTCAATGGATAAAAATTTCAAGGTCATTAACTCTCTTTTTATATTCCTAATCTGTGTATAATTATATTCTGAATATAATATTTTCTCAATGCTAACTAAAAGTTCTTTTAAATATAGATGATAGGAAGATATTTCAGCAGGAAGTATAACTTCTTCAAAGTTACAGAATTAATGGTAACATCCCCGTTGATATTTATAAAAAGAATAGTTTCTGCCTTTGAGAAGTGCAAAAGAAACAAACCAGGTAAAACCTGCAATCCCAGCTGAGGCAAGAGGATTGTCATGATTCTGAGAGGTCAGCCTGGGCTCCATAGTGAGTTAAGGCCAGCTTGAACTATGTAGTGAGATTCTGTTTCAAGAAAAAAATGCAAAGGGAAATAAAAAGTATTGGACTGATTCATAAAAATGCTATATTTATACATGAAAGTATCCAAACACTAGTGATTCACAGGATTCATTTTATGAAAAGCATCTAAAACAGGCCCTGGCTAACATGCAGTACAATAAATGCTTACTGAATTTAATTGTGTGGACCTGCATTTTCTAATACAGTCATTAGCCATATGTAGCTATTGTGCACGTGGAGTTAGCTAGACTGACTTAAAAAGTCCATTTTAATTTTGCTTAATTTAAATTTATAGTTGATAATATATGACCTTGCTGGAAAATATTATGTCTGCAACAATTTGGGTATATGTGAATGTACTTTTCAACTGAAAATTTTATGAAGCTACATACAGCTCAAATAATTCCAATGAAAATATCGTGAGCAGAGCTGAACAGTGAACATCACATATACAGCGATGCTTTGAAGACTCAATAAATGTCAAATATTTTTATACTCGTTATATGTTAACATACGTTTGATGTTTTGGGTTAAAGTATATTGTTGAAGTTATGTCCCCTTTTCTTAATTCTTATAAAATGGCTACTAGAAAATGACATACGTGGTTCTCCATATATTTCTACAGGCAGCCTGAGTACAGAAGTTTGAGAAAATGACAATGCTAAGCGTAGCTCAGACTGGTAGGAAGCCAGCCTCCACCTTCCTGCAGATGAAACAAAGAGCAAGCGTGGAGGGTATCGCACAACCCACAGGCAGCACCAAAGGACAGGGAGGAACAGCTAGGAAGAAGCTTCCTGCACCTAGGAGGGCGAGCAGGAGGAGACAGTGCGGGACAGGGATAGTGAAGCTGCAGGCCATGGTTGCTAAGGCTAAAGAAGCCAGGGCAAAGTCCTGGGTTCAGTCCTCAGTACTGCAAAACCAACCAAGACCACCAATCAATCAACAACCCAACAAAAAACCCAAAACAGTAACAACAACAATCCTTCACCAGAAATAATAAGAGAAACTAAAATGGGGGAAATTTTGGTGTTTAATGTGTCTCCAAATTGAACTGTCTGACCTCAAATCTGAGCTGTCCGAAGACAACTCTATCTCCTTGCGGAGATGTGGGAACTGATGGTTTAGATTTCACCACTGGAGAAACACACAATGGCCATGTCTCCCAAAGATTATGTGGAGAGAAGAAAATAAAAGGGAAATCTCTGAGAAATGCTAAAGTTAACCTATTCTTAAGTTTTTAAAATCTGTTTATGTAACAGTTGGAGGGATGAACTTGCCTAAACAGAATCTCTAAATTGACAAAGAACTGAGAACTGAATATCACTATAGTTCTTATGAATATTATGCACATTATGCCCCCTCCTTGGGGGCAGGCAATGCTCACAATGGTAGTATCTTTATTATAAAACACGCACGTTTAATGACCTATAAAAGAACTATTTGTCTTTTCCTTTTATTTTTTGAGGACTCTGGAGTTTAAAGCCTGACTCCCAACTCAATTTAAATAACTGACATAAAACTACTACATTTTACATTAAGAAACTTTTTTTAAACAATTTCAGCCAGTAAACACTTTTGGATAAAATTATGTGCCACCCTACTACTGAGATGTAAAAAAATTGCATTTAAAATTTTTTTCACTATTAAAATAATTTTAGATACAGAAAACACTGTGAAGTTTCTCTCTGGGCATGAGATATTATTTTCTACCAAATAATTGGCCATTGTTTCATCCTTGTTTTTGAGTATTATTGACTTTAAAAATGGCATATCGAAGTAATTTTTTTAATCAAAGAAGAAAAATGTCCCAACTTTAAGAAGCTAGGCTACAGACACTGGATCCTTTTGAAAAATAAGCATCTAAGTTTAGAATACATTTAAATTAAAAATTCAACACATCAAATGTTAATTTCAAATTAGTAAAAATAAATAACAAAAACCATAAAACTTACATTCATGATTCCTTGGAAGCCTGAATTTTTTCAACAAGATCCTAATATTGACAAATAGAGAAAAAATGAAAACATTTATATTTGCCATAACTCAAAAGATATTTCTAAAAACATTTTAGAACAGAAATAGCATTATGTAATTTGCACTATTAAGTGTTGTGAAGAAAATTAAAGCATCAAGAACACTAAAGCATGAAATTTTCCTCAGATAATCATGGTAGTTAAACTTATGTTTTCAAATAAACATGAAAAAGGATGATTAATGGGCACAAAATGCATTTGTAGGACAGAAATTCATCAGGAGTCCATGGAGCATGCAGCCCACATGACACACAGCACCCAGGGAGAGGACAATGAAGGCACTAGGTATTCATATACTTCTTTTGATCTTCCTGAAAATGAACTGAGTATCTGGATATAGTACCAAGGGAAATACCACTTCAGTATATAGTAGAAAAATATTTCCCAATCTCATCAAATAAAATGAAATGTGATTTTCAAAGTGGTAAATACATATCTGGTTATTATTTAAGTATATTAAATATACTTTAGTGTATTAAATGCTTGGACTGTATTTTCATTTATTTAAAACACAAAGTTAGTTACATCCCATTAAAATCAGAATTGAGTGCTCTTGCTCTGATATACAATAAAAATGGAAAAGCCTTAAAGTATAATGATGTCAAATTACAAGTTTCAAAAGAAGCATATTTTTTATCTTTTTGTGAACAGAGCAAATAACCCATGTTCACAGACGGTTAGCAAAAATCAACCGAAATGAAAAATCAAGGCATTGATAAGGCATTAGAAAAAATAAGACATACAATTGTGCCTTTTTTTTTAACTTATAAAGAAAATCATCAGCAGGCTGGGAACCTGCCCCATATGCAGGTTACTGCCAGAGTGGGAACAGGTAGACCCAAGCCTCTACCTGTGAGTCAGCGTGGTTCTCCGACTAGGAGCAGAGGGAACAAAGGCACACCAGTAGACAAGCTCGCCTGGGAACTAGCAAGCCGTGCGGGCCACAGCCAGAATGGGCAAAGCCAGACCCCAGCCTCTTCTGACACATGGGCGGGCAATACAAGGAGTACTGATATCCAGCCCTACAGCCACCTCCTAAGTGACTGGCTTAGTAGAAGAAACACAGGCTGTGCTGATAGCTGTGGAGGTGAACTGCAATCGGATGCCTGTGGTGCTTTGGTGTTTCACTAACATTGCAGGCTACAGCCAGTGGTCTGACCATAGGTTCAGAGGATAGGGGTTCGCAGTGTGACATCTAGAAGGAATCTTCTTCTGAGGGTTGTAGCTGTTGTTGGTTCCATATGATCTTGTTTTGAAGTTCTATAATCATTTCCATTGTTTTGTTGGGTTGGGCTTTATTCTCTTGCTTTGTTTGATTATGTCAAATCCTATGTCAGGAACAGTGATTTCAAAGATAACAAGATATGGAAGCAATTTTGGATTTACTATTGGCTTGTTTTGAAATTCTTTATTGTATTCATTCTTTTGTTTTTATTGTTTCTACTCTATTCTGTTTGAATTTTACTATGTCTGAAGTTATCTACAGCTATTTTGAAGACATCAAGAGGCATTATGGTAACTATTGTTGATTTTGTAATGTTTTGAAGTCCTGTATCTCTTACACTGGTTTGTTTTGATTGGTTTTATTGTTTTATACTCTTTAAAATAAAAAAGAAAAAAATCATTAAAAATGATATAGTTTTCCCTAAATTTTAAAATTTTCTCCTCAAATATATATAAATCAGTAATAATATAATGAAGGAACTGCTGTATAAACATAGATAGGCAAAACAAAATGAATTAAACTGATGTTTTAAATTTAATGGAGACTTTCTTTTCTATTTCTGGGGATTAAAAATGCTACAAAAGGATTCTGACACTAAAGGAATGATTTCAAATGTCAGAAAAGTAATCTTCAATACAATCCTATTTGTATCTTGAAAGATTCATAGCAAAGTGTTCACTGAAAAAGGAGAAACATCATGAAATGACCAACATAAGTCAGTATAATAAGGTGGATATTTTCAATTCCATTGTATTCTTGGGGACAACAGAACACTTGGTTTCAAGAAAAAGTGTTTCCAGACATAGAAATTTGTTGAAGCACAACAATGCTCCAAAATGAGCCACAAAGTTAACACCAGTGGTGTGAACCTGGCATTTTTCACACTTTATAGGTTTCGCATTTGTAGGCAGCATGAGAATGAATCTAAAAGTTGATATATTTATTAAAAAAATTATAACATTGTCCTCAACTTAAACTTTAGTATTTTCAGAGAAAAATGGGATACTGAAAAATATACTGGTAAATTATAGCCATTTAAACTTTATATTCTACCAACACTAAATTACTTTAATCTTGTTGCATTTAAGCCAAGCAAAAGTTAAAATATATAACCTATCAAGATGTTCCTTGATTGAAGATTTACATTATAAGCTTGAGATATAGAAAAAATGGATGCACCTTGAGACCATAATGTTAAGGGAAACAAATCAGACATGCGGGCTTAGGCTTCACATACTTTCTCCTGTGTGAGAAACCCAGACTGTAAATAGAGCAAAATAAAAGGTAATAGGAAGTAGGGAGGGGATTCAGAGGTGGAGGGCGGGAGAGGGAAAGAGAAAAGGATGAAAAAGAATTAAGAGGTGCATTACGTACGTGTGCCTACTCTCCATGTGGAATGTAATTATATTGCACACAAGTACCAATAAAAATAAAAATCTAATTAAAAATCACATACCAGCATATATGCTTACAAAGTTCCTCTCCTTTCAGAAATGTGGAGCAGTTACAAACATGAGGGTTTCCTAGGAAAACCTTTAAAAGAAAAATGCATACTTAAAAAGGTCACTGAATGTTAAAGCAAAACTAATTTTTATATAATTTGATTAAAAGCGACTTAAACAGGTAATTTGGTTTAGGTGAGGTCAAATCGAGCCTCTTATTGGTGAACCTATTGGGCTATCTCAACTCTTGGCAAGCACCTTAGATGGATCTTTCACTTCTTATTCTTTGCCTTGGTGAACAGTATGCATTATAAGACAGCTTTAAGTGATTTTTACACAGATGAAAATATAATGTTTAAAAGCTGAAAAAGCAAATACCAACCAACAATCAACCAACCAACCAACCAACCAAACAGGAAACTCAAGAGACGATTTTTCTTACTATAGGAAACTCCGGAGTAGACTTAAACACCTTTTGTAAGGTAGCTCACTTTGGATTTTTGTTTGTGTGTTTTGGATTTAAAATTTAACCTTACTCAAGAGGAGTAATTTTATTCATCAAGACTGCATTGGCTAACGCAGTTTATTAAAGCAAGTAAGTTTTGTAAGCAACAAGGGAAAAAAAGAATGTTTTAAAAAAGGACATACAGGTAAACTGTGTTCAGTACTCTAATATTCATGGCACTAAATTAAAATTTTCCAAGTCAACCCATAGGAGGTGTGCACAGTGACTGATTTTTGCTAAGAATGGAATATATAAAATATCCTTAGATTTTCAGCAAAATAAAAGAATGTTTATTTTTAATGGGGCCTTGCTGTAAAGTGAATAATCCGAAACTGATGCTGTTCATTGAGCAAATATTTATGGTCTGTAAATCTGAGGAAAATCCATTTTGATCTATGGGATTAGTGGCTGCTAGAAATGATTTAGGCGAGGGGCCATCACTATACAAGAGGTTGGATACAACTTGAGGTCCTAACCTCCCACAAAGAGACGCTTCTAGCGATCTTATTTCTCTCGCCCAGGGCAGTGTTTGGGGTGGAGCACGCGGCTGGACTGAGAGGTGAGGGTGAGGTGTCCCCTGGTGGCCCGGGGACAACCGCATAGTTACTCGGAAATCCCCGTTCTCCGGCTCTTCCTCCCGCAGCAGGAAGCCGGTGGGCCCTATCTCCCGCAGGAGATAGATGCTGCTGCTCAGGGCCTGGTCCTGTTGCCGGCTGAGGCTGTCGTTCGGGTGTCTCCGCCGGTCAGACGCCTTGCAGCCCCGGCGGAGCATCCTGCGGACGCCGGCGGAGGCGCCCGCGGGTCTCTATGGCGACGGCGTGGGGCCGGTTGCCCTGGGGACGAGGTGAGGCTGCGCCCCTCCCGACGTGCTTTGCGCGGGGTGGTGGGCGGGGCGGACCCTGTGGCTGCGGCGCGCCTGCGCTCAGTCTGGCTGTTGCTAAAACCAGGGCGAACACATTCTGCATGGGGAGGGAGGTCATCTCTGCTGATCCCCGGTCTTCCTCAGAAAGCCCACTGACTGCTGACGTTCAGCATCTTGTCATGGACGTTTCCCAGTTGCTTGCGAAGTGCACGGACTGGAGGATTGCTGTACCTTGCTTCCTCCTGTCCCATAAAAGGCCTTTGCACTGAGCTACAGCCCCAGCCTTTTAAAAAGGTGCTTTTCTTACCCCAGAGCGGTAGTGCTCAACTGGCCAGGCTGCTCAAGAAGATCAAAACAGGAGATAGCTCCTCCAGGTAACATTAAGGACGGAAGTTACTTTTCCTGTTTTATCACAGGAGGAAACCAGAGCCAGGCTGTGTCTCAAAGCCGTCAAAGGGGAGGAGCACATGGCCAAGGCCGCCATGTTGGAGAAATTAGTGGCCATGGCGCCCTCCAGATGTGATATGCTTGGGTGAGCCCAGCCCAAACCTAGGCCTAAGAATTTAACTGACTAAATTTTCTTTCTAGTCACCTATTCTGAGTGATAACATACATATCAGAGTAATCCTAATTTAATGATGCTACATTAGAGCAAAACATTGTACATTAAGAAAAACAGCCACACTAAGAACAAAATATAAACTGAATTAAAATGTTATATAATCGCTGATAATTTTCAAACAACATCAATGACAACTAACATTTTCTACACAACAAAATGAGTTGTGTTTCACAGTAAAGGCACTTGATTTGTTTCCCTCCTGGTGTATGTGATTAGATGTATATGGTTATTTGAGAATTTTAAAGATCAAACATAGCAATTATTGTTAAAGCTGTTGTGTTTTGTTTGAAATTAGTGACACTTGTTCCATATGCAAGTATAAGAGTGAAGGTAATAGTTATATAACTGAATAAACAGTCATAAATTCTGTTTCTGGGAATTTAAAAAATAACAGCTTTCATGCCTTTATGGAAATCAGAAAGCACAGATTGCTAGAAAGAATTTCAGTTTAGCTGTAAGACATTTATTTTTCTGTCAGTTAAAATTTCAGAAACATTTTTTTAAGAGAAAAAAATAAAAACAAAGCTTTCAAAACGGGTTAGTAGAATAGTTACAATAATTAATACATTGTACATTGTTGTCTTCGTGGTGGTTATTCAGAGTACAAGATATAGGCATGATATCTTGTCCAAACAATATTAGCACAGAAAGAAACAATTTTATAGCCAGATGCTAATTCCATGTGTTTGCCTTATCTCTCACAAGCATGTGACAAGGCGAAAATTCTGTGCGAGTTAAATTGGAGAATTATATTTCTACCTTAAATTTTCAGTGTTCCCTGCCAAGTTCTATTTCAAGGTACTTTGATCCTGGGAAGAAAATGGTATACACTGCTAGAAACAAAGAAAGCAGCGTTTCATGGGCTGATGAAACTTTCATGAATTCCCTTTTTGCCATATCTGACATATGCTGAGCAAGATGGGGAGGTGCAGAGAAGGCAGCTGATGCCCTGCTTCTGAGGATTAAAGACTGAGATGAAGACAGGAGTTCATGTTTGCTTGTATAGATGAGGACGGAAGAAAGGCAGAATACTGGAATCAGACCAGGAAGAAACAGAATTCAGACTTCAAGACTGAAAGCAAAGACTCTAGTGGGACGTGACAAATTTGACACCTTTGAAAAGTCAAAGGGGGCCAATTAGAATCTTATGATCATTAATGAGGAGCGATTGGGACTGGGCACACTGGGACTAACAGGCAGGAATCTAGGAGACATAATATGAAGTCCAGATCTGCATCTTGTGTTGTTAGACAGAGGGCTACATAAGCTTTAACATTCCTATACCTTATGAGTGGAAATCTGAAGTTTTAAGCATTTGATTCTTAAAGTGCAAGTTCCAGTTTGCTTGGCTAAACTCTAGATTGGTTTTTCCCTAACTCTCCTGACATTCCTTGTCTTAGAAGATGACTTTGAAAACTTTCATTGAAAATTCTTTTTTTGCTCTTTGGAGATATAACTATTCTCAAACCCTTGCCAGTATCACAACCTAGTAATGTTTTCCTCAAGCACCTGGGGCCATCTAGTTGAAACAGAATCATCAAGAAAAATAGGCCTCCTATGTGCCAATTGCTTTGGTACTTTTAATTTAGACAGATGCAAATTAGTAAATACATATGTCCTCATTATACTGACCAACAACATCTTTGTTAAAATTCTCTAGTACTTTTCTTTTGGGTCATCCCAATGCTTAAAATCCCTGCTCTTTATTTTAGTGTAGTTGAGTTCAATCTCCCTTTTTGCAATAGCATTTAATAGTCTTATTGGGTTATTTCATTCCATCTAGTGAAATTTCTCTTTAATAGTAGATATCATTTATCTAAGAAGACTGCTGAGTTGTTAAACTACAGTAAGTAATATTTTACTCAGGTGATTTTTCTCTTGTTATCAAGAGAAGTAGAGGCAATCACAGTGGTTCAATCATGTATATAGAAAATACGCTTCAATATTTTGTACATACAAGAGTATGTAGTACACATAATGTTCAACCTGCTACAATGTCATTGGCAATTTTAGCCTAAGATGCCAGACTGAGAAAATAATGTCAGTTTTTCTTCTATCAGAAGTGCCTGTAGTTAAAGTAAGATTTCAGTGTCTGACAATGACGTGAACTGGAAAGGACTGAGCAGCACCAAAGGCTCATGCTCTTGTGTAATTCCTTCCCCTCTGATAAGGTAAGGTCACATGATAAAAGAGAGAGTGCACATGTTAATTAGGGTTATTACTCAGCTGACATAAGTTCGTTAGGAGGGAGATAACTTGAGCAACAAGAGAGAAAATGCAGAATGAAGATGAAGAAATTCTCAAAGATTCAATAGAAAAACTTTCCAAAGGTTATGGGAAAAACTATGGAAAGGGTTTAAGGAGCACTAAACAGTATGAATTAATAACGATTTATACCTACGTATGTGGATGAGAAATTTCAGAATATCGAAGACAAAGAGGAAAAACCTAGTCACTTACAGAATATAAAAAGATACAAAGACCAAAAATTAGATAAGCATGAGATTTTTCTCTTTCATAGTAGGATGCTAACGACAGAAATTCTGAGAAAAAAAATGACATGATACTAGAATTTTATATTTAGCTCAATTATCTGACATGTAAGGACATAATGAAATCATTTTCAGACATGGGAAATTCAGAAACCTTATCTCCCTGTGCATGCGTAATGAGTAAAGCACCAGAAGATATGTATCAGAAAATCAGAGTTAATTTAACATTTAATAGTTCCTTTTATCACATCTGTCTGTCCTATAATATCTTCCCATTAATGTAGCCAATTCATGTCTTGGTTTGAATGAATTTCTGAATACTTAATATTACTGTATGCTTTGCAAATGAACCATAATTCACAGGGTGCTTTAGACACCTTTCTGTTGTTGGGGCACTTGAGATACCTAACTTAACTGGGAAAACATTTATTCTGGCTCACAGGCTCAGAGATTTTAGTCCATGACTGGATGGTTCCAGGGCAGACGTGTTATGGCAGGAGAGCCTGGTGGAGGAGAGCTGTTCCCTTCATAGCAGTCAGGAAACAGAGAGGGACCAACGGGGCAGAAAGGAAGCGCCAGGAGAAGAAAATACCCTTCCTGGTCACACATGCCCTGACACACCTTCTAGGAGCAGTCAACGTCTCCTAACAGCACACTCAGCTACTGACTCCTTAACCCTCTGATGAGTTTAACCTTCCTGTGAGCCACTAACCTTCCAAAGCTCACCTTGAAAACACAAGCCTTTGGGGGATACTTCCTGTGCAGACTATCACACAGACTATAAGTCAGGCCAGCCAAATGATTCAACCTTTAATATATTGTTGGCATTTATATCCCTGGGAGCTTACAAGACCTTCATGTTTAAAATTTCAACTGGGGTATTTGATAAATTGTTTTCATCAAATTTTCCTGGCCCTTGGCCAACTCTGTGTCTTAGTCTATGATATTATTAATTGTGGCTCCTGTTTTATTGCTTCTAGTTCTTTTTAAGAAACACAAATTGCCTGTGTTTTTGTCCCTGGTTATATTAGATTATTTTTGGTTATTCTTATCTATTATTTTACATTTCTTGATTTTTTTCTGTTTTCTGAGAAGACTTTTAATATATTCCCTCTTCATTCTAAAGCATTGAACATTATGCTATTTCAAGTTTATTTCACAACACTGTAACACTTATTATTCATTTGCTACATCTGCCTGTAGTTCTTATGGCTTTTCTTTGATCTCAACCACATCTCTTTGATTGCAGATAGTAATACTGAGTGACACCATTTAATAAAAAAAAGTTGGTGAAACTTACCAAACATATCAAACAAGTGTACTATCTAATACTTATAATCTGTTTTTGAAAAGCACACCCTTATGTTACCTTTTTTTTTCCACACTCAGAAGTGGCCCTCAATTTTTATTGTCACGAATTTTTTTCCTAGTTGTAGCTGCTTTCTTTTTATCCATCCTTAATAGGCTGATATTTGTTCTTAAAAGTGACCAAGTGGAGCCCTGCCTCACTATCTGCCTGGAAAGTTTGGCTTCTCCTCATGTTGTAGGCTGGTGAGATGGATCACAGTTCGGTAACCCAGGAACAGGAAGAACCTAGGGCTGTAGTCAGTGCCACCAAGGGAATTTCTTTCTGTGAGTTTTACTCTCATGTTTTGTGAAGAATTTCTCCAGAACGAAGCCTCAGCTGATGTGAAGCTTTGTTTCTAATATAGAATTATTTATAATGAAGAATTTGGACAATCATGCATTTCATATTGAAAAATTCCAAAAGGATTTATGAAATCTCTGGCAGTTTAAACATGCAATGGCCTGATACCAGTCTGAAATATAGATACCCTATTTAAAGTGGGAGAGAGAGAGAGAAATAGAGAGAGA